TCTCCTCTCCTCTCCCTTCCCCTTCCCCTTCCCCTTCCCTCCTCTCCCTTCCCCTTCCCCTTCCCCTTCCCTCCTCTCCCTTCCCCTTCCCCTTCCCCTTCCCCTTCCCCTTCCCCTTCCCCTTCCCCTTCCCCTTCCCCTTCCCCTTCATTAGGAGACAGAGATAAGTCAATATGCATTAAGCTATGAGTATTGTTTTCCATAGATGTAAAGTAAATTATTCAATCTCCATTCACTTTCCCTACTTTTGCTTCCTTCTACCCTGAAGGGTTCCTCCTGCTGAAACATAATGAGTTGTCTATATATCCTATTTTTTTAAATTTTAAAATAATTGAACTACAACTTTGCTTTTTCTGCCATCTAGTTGTGCTTAGTAAGTTCATACTATCATGAAATATAAGGTAATAATACCAGTTTTAATAGGGGAACTTTCAGGATTCTCCTACTTTAAAAGCCTTCTGAGAACAAACACCATACAGATACAGGAACAACTCACCAAGAAACCTCTTCCTTCAAACACTGAGAAGTTTGTATTAAAATTCAGTTTCCTTGCCAACAAAGCAGTTCTAAAGACTGCTAACAAGAAAAAAAAAAAAAAAGCCCAGGCAGACTTTGTGGAAGCATATGATTTGTAATTCACATGATGGTACCAGAGAAAGGTGCATTTGTGGAGTTCATTGTCCTCCTCTGACCCAGGCTACGTTGACAGAGGTCTCCCAATTAGCCTGAAGCAGAGTTAACATGGTAGCATTCAAGAAGGCAAAGTGTTTCTGGCTGTATGGTGTAAAGGGCTGCTTATTCCTTGCCTCTAATTGGAATTGAGCATCCTCCCTCTCCTGACCACTTCACCAGCATCTACAACCCTCCCTCCATGCCCATGATGTAAACTCCAGCCACTCATTGATGGCAGCAGCTCATCTTTGAGATCATAACTTCCTACTGACTTTGAGTCTGTATCTAACACCCATGGAAAAGCAAAACCTTCCCAGAATCCAGCTACATCTTTCAAAAACATACTCTTGTCACAAGCATCAGCTCCTGACAGATACTTAACAGAACCAATCTTTCTTTCATGCTTCCCCCACATTTTCAGCTTTGCTGCTGCTTTCATTGAGCATACTCTGAGCACACAAATGTTTGCAAGGCTAAGAAGGAACCTAGTTCTTTTATTCCTTCTGCTATAAGCTGGGTCTACCTGTGTTACATGTGAATGAACAGTGTGGGGAACCAGCGGTGAAATAAATGTATTCCAGAATGGGTAAAGTATGTCTGAAGAGATGAAAGACCTCTTTTTTATTTTTTCTATGTCTCTCTATCATTTCATGTCTTGGATACTTTTCTGTGGAAAACTTTTTCCCTTTTCGAGTGGTCTTTGTCCTTTTTGACGTGATTTCTTTTCGGCCGTCTTTCCAGCTCTACTCACTTCCCAAAATAACTACATTGTCACACAAAAGAAGGTGAAACAAAGATATCAGGCCCTGATCTAAGGTGTCCAGATCAATAACAGCATTTTGGAAATCAAGGTTAGAGGCAATATGCACAAATAGGCATCAATGGTCATATTGCAAAAGTTGGAGATTTTTCCATCAGCGTTAATGCCTGTAGCAGACATGCTTCAGGGCCATTTGATAAGAATTCTCATGGCCAGCTTATGGCTGCTTATGCCTCTTATCCACCCTGGTGCTGTTTTGGCCTTGACCATTCTTTCAGCACTTTGGTGGAGCCTTCTGCACAAATCAGTCTCCCTGGAAAGTGAAGCAGTATGAACATCAAGTTTGAATATTTTTAACCTTCCACTTCTAAATTATATGGTGGTGATGTGAGGAGATCTGGTAACACAAGTCCAAGTATCTCAATAATAAAGGGCAAATACAGGAAAATGCAGAGACTCTGAGAGGTTATGATGACAATTTACCTTTCTTTTATAATAGTTTCACCTTCAAACTGGCAAAAAGTGGAAAAGCAAAGTCATTATGTATGTTTGGTGAAAGTAAACACAAGGCATTACACATATACTTCCTCTTGAGCTCTTAAAGAATCAAATTTGGTTCTGACCTGATTTTGCAAAAACATGTAGCACCATGTTACAAAAAGCCAGATGATCAGGGTGGTCTCTAGAAGTTGCTGATATGGCATATAAAAGTTGTAGCACTGCCTACAAAACAACCTCTGGGACAGAAAGTAGGAGAATTTAATCAAGTAAAATGATGAGAGGGAAAACAAAGTTGTTGACACAGACTTTGGCTGAGAAGATCCTGAGTTGCAGGTTGCCAGAGCTCAGATGGCTGTAACACAGAACACACTTGGTTGTCTTTCTCCAGTGGCATCACCTTTGCCATCTTACTGGCACCTGCTGGAAAGCCTCCAGGACCTCCTGGAGGCTTGCCCTACTGCAGTGTGAATATTTTTACATAACCTAAAGCAACTTGGAAGGGTAAATACACTTGACAGAAGTTTTTTCAGAGTGAATGACTTGAAGCCACAAGGCTTAAAATTTAAGATAATTTATTGTCTTTTGTCATGCTGGGAAAACAAAAGGAAGATGAACAATAAAGATTGCATCTTCTTGTGGAAGTACTGAAGCCTCCAGTTCTGATATTTGCAAAAATGAAATATTTAAGGGGCTAGAAACAATTAGGCTGTGTACAAGAAATATTGAATATCACCAAAAGAAGAACTGTCATGAACAGTCTAATCTGTAAGTTAAATGAATTCTAGGAGTGATATACTGTCCATAGAGATGTGTCACTCCTTCATAAAATTATTATTCTTTTAAATAATTGAAAAGTGAAGTCAGTCACCTGGCACCAGAGCAGAACATAATAGCAGTTATTTAAGAGGTTGAAACAACTCCCATTGAATCTCTAGTACTTCTCTCTTTTGATGCAAGCAACCAAATCATTGTAAGAGCAGATCTCAGCAACTGTGGATTAAGGAACTATTGAAGTGTCACAATGGTCTCCTGAGGTCAGTTGCTTATGATTTAATGATGATGAATAATACTGAAAAGAGACTTTGAAACTGAATTTGACCTTTCTTAGTCAAAAATACAGGAAAAATCTTGAAGGATGAGAGTCCATGAACTTTTTCCTGACTGCATATTGCTCTTGTCAGGATAAACAGCTATGCCTTGGTTAATATGATAGCAAGCTTTCAGGCATACTGACAGAGTAATGGATTTTTTTTTTTTTTTTTTTTTTTGTGGGGTGGTCATGGGATGAAAAGAAAGGAAAAATCAATAAGAAACTGAATTCAAGACTGACTGGCACAACTTTTTCAGCAAAATTTGGGGAAAAGATGTAAAAATGGATCACTTAAAAATAATGTATTGAAAGTATTTTTTTTACTTGCAAGATACTTGAAACATTTTTACTTACAATGATTATAGTGACATTTATCTGAGAAAAGGGACTCCATCTTATGTTCCCTATTCAGTTTAACACCTCCACTCCCCATCCTGGTGCAACTTGAGGCCATTTCCTCATCTTACTGTTTGTTACTTGGAAGAGGAAGAAATGTGATCAGAGGGTTCAGTCAAACAGGAGCCAGACTCGGGAAGTTTTCGGATCATTCAGGGCTGTGGCTTGGAGGCTCTGCAAAGCTTGACTTCTTTCACTGTATCGCTGCATTCTCTGACATAATCTACCAGCCAAAAAAAATTAACCTTTAGGTCAATCTCACAGACTTGCACAGCGGAATTGGCGGCAGAATCTACTTGGCAGCAAGAGTTCTCACAGAGAACAGTGTTTGTTACTCAGTTGGGTCCTTCACAGGTTATTTCTTTATTTACATTGATGGGAAATATACAAATGTGACATTTTAAATTAACACATAGTGACTTTTTTTTGTCATTTTTTTAGAACTAAGGGATTTGTGGGTACTTTTCTTGCTGTGTTAGTGGGAGGGATAAATGAGGCTGTGCACACCTTACAGCAGTACCCCGGCAGGGTGGAACCTAAAACAAGATTAAAAAGACACTCACAGGAGGAAGACATCAAGGAAATAGCGCCATGACCAGAGAGGTTGATTTGCAATGCAAATATAAAAATATATCAGTTTTCAATGGGGAAAAATAAATTACTGATGTGACAATTATATTAACCATCTATTGTTGTTGTTAGGCTTTTAATTTGCCTTGTAATCTACAGCTATTATATTAATGAGATGAATAAAAATTGATTGTATTATGCATTAGAGAACAATCTAATTTTAACTAGCATGGGTGGGCTGTTGTTTTTAGATGGTTTATTGTTATGGTATGGACTGGTTGAAGATTTGTTGGACATCGATTGCAAAATTACATTCTCTAACAAAGAGGAGATTAAAAATTGGCATAAGAATTAATATGACCACTGAGTGCTAAACTGATAAAGACTTTCAGAAGCTATTTGAGCAGTAGAGATCAGGTGATGCCTCATTAATTACTGCAGACTTCAGAAGAGATACCGTAGCATAATCACTTTAAAATTCCCATGCTAATTAAAATTTTGCTTTCTTTTGCACTGTTATCTTTCTTTTAGAAGTACAGTAGCACACCCCTCACTAGAACTATTGCAGCTTTTAAAACAATGTGTCCTTTTGAATTGTTCATATTTTCCACTGAGAGACTCCCCAGTTTTTGCATTCTGTTGTTCTTCAGAGCTTATGCAAAGCAGCATACTTCAGTGTCTGGACCTCCAATTGGTCAACTGCACCTCTGAAGAGATCTGTTTGGGATAGAACCAATCATATTTTTTCTATTGTTAAAAAGCAATGATTGTGAAAAATCACAAGTTTGCCAGTATTATGTCTCTATTTTTGTGTACATTATGCCTCTATTTTTGTGTGCCATACAACTCTGGCTGAATGATGCCAGTGTTAACTCACTGACAAAGCAACAGATCAGAAATTTAGGTGTTCCCAAACAGCACTGAAACAGTGAACAGATAATATTTTGCAGAACATTTTTTTATGAAATGCAAAATATTCATATGCATATGTGTATATGTATTAATTTCTAGATGGCTATCCTAAAGAGGAAATGATTTACAGATGGAGGAAAAATTCAGTGGAAGCTGCTGACCAGAAATCTTGGAGGCTCTATCAGTTTGACTTTATGGGTCTCAGAAATACTTCAGAAATTGTGAAAACTTCTGCAGGTAAGAATGATACAAATGGTAGTGCTTTTTTTGGAATTCAAATTATTTAAAAACATTTATCCCTGTTTTGCTTTCATTCAAGTGCAAATTGATTTTAATATGTTCCAATGTTCATTTTAGAAGCTGTAAAGTTCAGGCCTGAAAAATATTGACTTTTTCTTGATTTTTTTTATAATCTCTACTCTTCTAGTGACTTCACAAACTGAGGAATAAATGTTTGCTTGATATAGCTATGTGTTGTAGACTTGAAGTTACTTTATGAATCTCATTCCTCATTTATTAGGCCACTCCTGTATTGAATCTGTCTTCACCAATAATTAAAGGGAAAGATTTTGAGCACAATGGTAGGTTAGTGAAATTAGACACTTTCTGTTCTTCATAGTTCAGAAAACGGTTTAATATTTTTCTTAATGTTTTAAAGACATTCTCAGTTGATAAATGCCTTTCCTTCTGACCTTACCAATTGATTGCAATTAAAATCTAATGATGCCTCTTCTATTTCTTCAGAAATCTTGCTGTTTCTTATAATAGCACAATAATATAGAGGGAAAAAAAGATTTTAAAATGGAATATACTATTTGAGCTGGATAAATTGTGGTCACACCATGTAGGAAGTTTATATAAACTTTATACATGACTGCAGTAAGCTCTATGATTGCCATGATTTGGTAAGTTTCTTACAGCTGCTGAGGGAATCTGCTAGAAGCAACCTTCTGCTTGACAGGTGGTGAATTTTTGAAAAAATCTGATTTTTTTTTTCCAAAAGGTAATCAAAGATAAGCTATTATTTTCAAAACATTAATGATAAAAAAGTATAAATCTGTGGAACTACTGCTGTTTAGTCCTGGCCCACTCACTAACATCAGCAATGAATTCTTAGAACTGTATAGGAATTTTTGTAATGAAAAGTCACTAAATTTTTAGTGAATATGTTGAGCTGGTGGTTTAGCAGAAAAAAATGTTGCAAAGAGCACACATGTGAAAGTTCCCTTTTGCTATGGATACAAAGTCTTTTAATTTGCAAGTTACTCAGGAATGCAAATTTTGCATAAATTGACTCAGGTACAAAATACTAAATCATTAAAGTATCTATGTATGTGGTTTAACCCCAGCTGGCAGCTTAACCATGCAGCTGCTCACTCACTTTCCCTGGTGGAAAGGGGGAGAGAATTGGAAGAATAAAAGCCAGAAAACTCACGGGTTAAGATAAAGATAGTTTAATAGGGAAAGAAAAAGCTGTGCACCCAGGCAAAGCAAAACAAGAAATTAATTCACTGCTTCCCATGGGCAGGCAGGTGTTCAACCTTCTCCAAGAAACAGGGATGTTGGAACTAGATGATCTTCAAGGTCCCTTCCAATCCAAGCTATTCTGTGTTTCCATGGAAAAGAATTACACAGTTAATATTAACACCAGTGTCTTGATAAACAAATCTATTTAACTTTGCCAAGACAAAACCATATTTATAGAGGTCTTACTTAAATAAGTGGATGGATAATGTGGAGCAAATAGAAACCTATTTCCTATGTTCATTTTAGCATGTGCCTGGTTCTTATTAAGATGAGTGAGTTGGCACAATATTTTTGTGTAATTGCTCTTGCTGTTTTCTACTCACCCATGTTTGTGAGTGCAAAATCCAACAGCAGTGTTGAACTAGAGTTACTGGAACCATGGGATATTTCTGTTCTCCTAGAGGCACCACAGTGACAGAAAGTTGTTGACAAACTAAAGCTTATTCAAATACTGAAACACCACCCCCCCCCCCCCCCACAAAAAAAAAACCCAAAAAACAAAAGCCCTGTCAGGAGATTGTGGAAGCTAACTTGCAAGAAACAATGTAAAATGTATGTGTCAGATTGTCATCTGAAGTTACTAGGTTAGAAAAATAAATTGTGCATTTCACCAGATATCTAAGACAGGTGTCAACAAACATATGAGAGATGTGAAGAATAAACCCCTGAATTTGCACATGGACCTGAGTTTTCATAAAACAGACTATATTTTGTTACTCTATAGTTTAAGGTAATTTCAAAGGCCAGATTTACTGAATGTCAACAATATTTACTGTCAATAGCAAACCAGGGCCAGGACTTAAGAAAAAGCAAATACATTGGAAAACTTTGAGTATGCCCCATGTTGTAGTGTAAGGAATCCCAAAATAGAGGGAAGGGGGCAGGACACAGTGCAATATGTCTCTGACAAAATTTGAAGCAATTCTGTAAGTTCCTGTTGTGTCTAAATATATGTGAACAAATGGGTTGAAGGGGCATCCATACTCTGGGATGTGCCTGTTTACTGAAGTAAAGCCCTAGCCAAGAAGTTTGAGAATTAGGAAACCCACAAAGCTGCTGTTTCCTACTGTTTGGAAAATCTGTGATAAAGGGAGGTGGCAGCTGCTTCTTACAGGTGTTACATCTCCTTTACAGCCCTGCCACGGGGGGCTGCAGGTGGTCAGAAATAAAGGCCATGTTCTGACATGGAAGATCTGTGACATTTTTGCACTCAAGCTACCTGGAGAGGGAGACTGCCCTGAGGCTGCCCCTAGGACACTGTGGGTGTAGGACACTGAATTTATGCTGCTCCTCAGAGCGAGCAGTTCCTGCCCTGTGCTCTGGTCAGCCTGGGGCCCCTCTGGGCCCTGTGGCAGCCCATGATGGCCCAGCAGGCACCACCCTTCTGCAGGCTCAGGACAGAAAGGAAGAGCAGCATTGGTCAGAGCGCTGCGCAGGAGACCATTCTGACTAATAAGGTGGAGTTAGGAGAAGGGAAGCAGGCTGGATACCACCAGCAGCTTTCTGAAAAAAAGATACCAAACATCATCTCTTCCTCCCATGGGAAGTTATGGAAACTACTTTTCCAGAGGGAATTTAAAAGCGGATTAGGCATAGCATGAGAAGATCTTCTGCAGAGAACAGTCCTGCACCAACAAGAGATGGATTAAAAACCCTAACTTCTTTTTGCTTACACCTTTCTGCTTGTTTTTGACACTGTTGCTTCTCACTAAATTACATCTATATAATGTGAGAGCTGCTGCAGTGCCACCTTCCTATGTCCAGCTTGGAGATCTCTTTTTAGCTCCTCTTCAGCCATGTTCTGGGTGTGATGAAGAGGGATCACACTGACCACACAGCAACTTGCTGCTGTTCTGCATTTGCATTAAGTCATTTCTTGGTAGTCATTTTCATGACAGAATTATTAGATTTAAGACATGGAAGTGTTCTGCTTTTTGATTTTTTTCAGTCTTTCCAAACCTTTTTCAGACATTTAAATAACCTTTATGTTAATCTGTGACAATTTCAGAGGTACATGATTAAGAAGCCAGCTGTCACAGAGTGCACTTCAGAAATCTAAGTAATATGAAAAATGTCATATTTTGCCCTGAACCAGCAGTGGCTTAAATTATTGACACTGTGTTGTACTTTGCTCTTTTTTTACAATAATCTGGCAGTCAAAAAAAGTATTCATTGCCACCTGGAAGAAGTGTACATCTTTCTCCTGAGGGTATTTTTTTTTTAATTTCATGCTAAGATATAACCCCAAAAAATAAATTAAATACCTACTGCAAATGATAATTGTATGCAATAATCAGTAGAAGTCAGTGTGCTGGTGGTATGGTCATGAACCTTTATCTGGAACCCTAAGAAAGCTCTCACTGCCAGGTGATATCAAATTAATTCACAAATACTGAAAAATTCCCCTGTTGCCATCTGGCAAGGTACTCAAATACTGTAACGAGAGCACTTCTCTTGCTACGATGTCAAATAAGGCTGACAAAGATAATTAAAGTCGAGGGAGTACTAAAGCCACCTGTGAAAAGAAAGGACAAACTGCATGGATAGAAAAAAGGTGCAGATTTTAAAACTGCAAGTCAGCCAATGGAAAGGTGACCAGGACAACAGGAGAGAGAAGAATGTCCTCTTTAAAAGCACTCTGTGTGTGTTTGTAGTAAACTTCAGGTTTCTGAGTTCTAGATATTCCAAATACACTTGAGGGTGGTGATGGGCTGGGACATAGGAGGGGAATAAAAACAAAGACCCAGAAAAATCCACAACAAAATTATGGAGGATTCCATAATTAAAGCTCATGGAGTGAGTTGTAGTGTTGCTTGCACTTTTCTGCACTTTTCTGTCTGCCTCAGAGTCTATTCTTTTAAAACCACTTATTTTTTTCACACTGTTAGATAAACACAAAGACCCTCTAGCTCTTGAATCTTATTTTCATTTACTCAAAAACTACTTTGCTCCATACAAGTATTGTTTGTGTTCTTTCTCAGATGCTTTTAGTTTGAGAGATTTTTTTGCAGTTCAGAAAGTCTTTGCGTAAATAAGTTCAAGATAATTCATCAGAAATAGAAAATACCAATAAAAGTACCCATTAAAAAAATAGCTGATTATTTCAAATTATATATATAAAACCAGACAGAAAGCTCCATTTCATAGATTCTGAATTATCCCAAGCATTAATACTCAAACTTAATAAATAGCCATAACAACTGCCATAGAAGGAACACCTTTGTTCACATACCATGGATGGGTGATGATTAGTGGAGTCTGACTGTCATACAACTTCTAAATCATGCTTTATGTTTTGAAATTGCTGTTTCATAAAGTACTTCAGCTTAAATGATGCTCTCAGCCCTGTATCACAGGGCTGCAAATCAAGGTTGATATCTGTTGTCACAGATTTAGATAAAGCTCTTTTGGGCCACACTAGAAGCAACACAGATTAAAGTACATATTCTCTTGCAGAGAACTCAGTAAATGACAAGTACAAAGCTACTACAGAACAAAATAAAGCAAACTTTTCTTTCAAGAAAATGCAAATATCTACATACATATATACATGTATACACACATATATACATATATGGCTACTTGCAGAGGAGGGAACGGACACACATGTTTTTATAGGAATGCTAAATTTCCCTAGGAGAGCCCCCATCAAGTCAAATGTGTTCTTGCAGCACAAAGCACCAGCTGTATCCTGGGCTCCATCAAAGACC